ATCGGCATTCAGATCTGGCTGAATACTGATGTCAGGCTGAAGACTGATATCACTAATGATGTTTGCTTTTCGCAGACACCGCTTGGGTCTGGACGTCTGAGGGTTCCTACTAAATGAAAGTGTCGCCTTCATACTTTTTCGAAGCATCAAGTAGATTTACAACGAAAACAGTCAGGAATTCAGAATAAACTAACTGATTAAGCTTATATAAGTTGCTGAAAGCAAGACAGACGGATAGCAGATTGTTAGGTAAGCAAGCAGAAACCAAACCAATGAAGGGGATGGAAGCAGATTTTTCAAAACGTAAGTTCTGGTACTTACGGATAATTTATATAAGAACATGAAAGACTATTAACCGTATCTTCTCTTAAATAAATCGATTTATATAAATTTGCCATTTATCTGAAAATTCGAAACCAGCGCTCGACCTTGAGTTTCCACCCTGAAATCTGTCCAATTTATTAATAAAGAATTAGCACATTCAGTTGAATAACATATTTATCAATGTACAATACAATTTATTGTATAACAAACTCACATGAGCTGGCACCATAGAAAGGTAACCATAAACACTTAAAAGTTTATTTGCGATCATAGAAGGATATATTGTAGCTTCCGTCGTATCAGCAAAATTCCAAATATAATTTTGTCCGATCGCTCTTGAAGCGTTTTTGTCACCAGTAACATCGCAACATAAACCTGAAGGATATTCTGACAACTTTGACGACTAATCAGGACGGCCGCATAACGAGCTTTGCCTACTTAATGTGCAGTTTCCAAGGCTATCGACGAAATTTGAACGTAACAGCAGAGTAGATTAGGGGCATTAACTCTCGCTTCACCCGATACTTTTCTGGGAAGTTATTCAATTTGAGACGAAGGATAAAAAGTTACTACGTTTAAAACAATGAATACTTGAATGTTTGACAAATATATGATATCCTTACTTTACCCTACGAAATTAATTTTGAAGGTCAAAGCTACGAATTTAAATGAGCACGATAGTCCGTGAGATGTTTAATATGTGCAATGAAATATGCAGGGTTGGTTGGCTTTAATTCGTGCGTCGGCATTTGGTTGGATTCCATTATCCAAACGGGAACTTCCTGATGTAAGACGTTTCCAGAAAAAGAAAAAGGACATTGAAAAGAAAACCTGCATAAATGTCAGTGGAACAAGATTCGAAACTTGGCAGTCGACGTTAGACAAATACCCGCTGACATTGCTCGGTTCGTCTGAAAGAGAATACTTCTACGATTGCCATACGGACGAATATTTCTTCGACAGAGACCCTCAAATATTTCGCTACATACTTAATTATTACAGAACTGGAAAGTTGCATTTTCCCAAACATGAATGTGTGTCTGTCTACGAAGAGGAACTCAATTTTTTTGGCATACGGCCAGATACACTAGAGTTTTGTTGTTATGAGGAATTTACAGAGAAGAAAAAAGAAGACAGTGAAAAATATATTGTAATAAAAGAAGAGGATGATGAAGACATTACATTTTTAACAATAAGGGAAAGGCTCTGGCATGATTTTGAAAATCCAAATGCCACGGTATTTGCGCAGGTTTTGTATTATGTCACAGGATTTTTCATTGCGCTGTCTGTTCTTGCGAATATAGTTGAAACAATTAGCTGCTCCGTATCTCCAGAAACTGGCAAAAGTTTATCCTGTGGACTGCAGTATGAACGTGCTTTTTTCTGTTTGGACTCGGCTTGCGTCATGATATTTACTATCGAGTTTGTAGCACGGCTTTATGCCGCTCCAAACCGCTGGAAATTTATGAAATCCGTCATGTCAATTATTGACGTTGCAGCAGTCCTTCCGTATTACATTGGCTTATTTATGTCCACAAATTTATCAGGCGCATTTACAACTCTTCGTGTTTTCCGCGTGTTTCGCATATTTAAGTTTTCAAGGCACAGCGCTGGTCTCAGGATTCTCGGATATACTCTCAAATCCTGTGCTTCAGAACTTGGATTTTTACTGTTTAGTATCTCAATGGCCATTATTATCTTTGCAACAATTATGTACTATGCAGAGAAATCCGAATCTTCGCAATTCACAAGCATTCCCGCCGCGGCTTGGTATACCATAGTTACAATGACAACTCTAGGGTAAGATTGATTAACTCCGAGAATCTTTTGCTTAAAAAAGGAGAACATTGGGCTTACTTGTTTGTTTGCAAAATGTATGAAGCCCATTTATTTTTAAAATGAGCATAATACTAACATTATTCTAGCATGATAGCATTGTTGCTAACGTCTTCATCAGTGTGATGTTTCCTTAAGTGGCATGCACATTCCTCGGTTGATTTAACTGACCTGCAATTTTCAACAATCAAGTAACAAGCGCAATCCAGTAGACTAGGCCTTTAATCAGGCCACTGAAACCTGAAATACTAAACGGAAAAAAAGTGATTCAAATATTTACTTCCGATATCCAGTCCACGTAGATTCTAAGTAAATGGGTCAGTAAAAATAAGATGTTTTTGGCGGAAATAGCTAAGTGCCAGTTATTTCACACACGGTTTGCTGTTATCCAACTAAAGAGTGGTAAAAACATTTCTATAAAACTGTCCCAATATAACTTGCGCAGATAGGGGCAATCAGTGCCATATCGCCATCTGACGAAAAAAACGTTTCTCGTTTGTTGATTTCTTCTTGTCTTTTAAATTAAAAAAACGATAATTATTAAAGGTGTTATACACTTGTATACAAATTTGCGTTCCGTTTAGATAAAATAAAGTAAGGATTTCGTCTTAATAGACGTTCAGCATAAAGAAATCATATCCGTCCATAGGTTGATCCGCTGCTCAGACATTTCTTAATATTTCGCATAAATATTCTTAGCAGTGCACTTATGTAGGCGCTCTTTTGCCGTACACTCGCAAATTTTTTGGTGCTCTTAATGTCAATAAAAACTAGGAATAGATCTAGCCATAGAGCATTTGTACCTACGGTTCACGAACACTGAAATTGTAGTCAGCTAAATAATTGCTTAGATAGGTCATAATTAACCATAACTGAAAGAAGACAATGGTTTAAATTATGACCTGAAAATAATAATAATGCTGTGCTATCATTAATTAACAATGTAAAACTTGCTTGCAAATTATATGTAAATGCTATATAAATCATAACAGAAGTGCATATAGAAATTTACTAACGTCTAACCTGATTTTGAAACCTTTGAACGAGTTTTCATACCTGCACTTTTTCTCACTAAATATAACGTTGAATACGGATAAGCGGGTAAGGCATTAAGGACGTTGCACTTAACGAAACCATAGAAGACCTCATATTTTAGTTTTCACACACGTATTTTCGGAATTTTACTTGTAGAGTGGTTCAAAAATAAACTGAGCTAAGAAAATCTGGACTAATATTTGGCTAATAAGCCCTCTGAATATACAAATTACCAATATTTTTACCTTCGTATATGTTATATTTCTATCATATCATAATTTTTTGGCTAAACTGTTTGAAGGACGGACAATGGCTATTACTGTGATGTTTTCATATTTGTATTGATGCAAAGTCTCTTGGTTGATAGCCTTGCAACCATTTTTTAATGCCAAGTATGTTTTCGCACTTTACCTTACTACTCCCTCTGTAAAGTGAATCAGAGGGAACTAGCCTGACTTATTTAGTAGACGATACATAGCGGTTTTAAAAAAATAAGGAACTCGGAAGATATGAAAGAAAACAGTGATTTTTGCAAGAAACATGCCCCTTACTGCCGCCAAATATCAGTGAGCACAAATGGGCTACTAAATGACATATCTCTAGGAGACAATAAGAACTCATTTCATTAACAGCATTAGAAGAATGCGTGTTAAGTTATGGTGCCCAACTTTCGCTAAAAGAAATATGAAAGGAGTTGTTGAGGGTGCACGAAGTTGGCAGACAACCACAGTACGAATCGTCACAATTTTTGTGTTATAGTAATTTAAAGCAGTCCAAAAATCTATAGTTGTATCGTAATAGACTAAAATGTGTCAAGCTCATATCAATATAGTTAAGTAAATGTCACTTTTTTATGACTTTTTTGTCGCAAATCCTTGTATACTTAAAAATAAAGCATATGTTAATTTTTAGAATTTGTCATAAAATAATCAGTATTTTAGACATGTTGCACTTTCGCACTAATAAATGATTGTATTGACGACCGACCACAGTACTTATCAGAAAGCCGATAATCCCGACCTTACATTTCTCAGCTACTTATTTATAGAGAAAAAGTCATACAACATCCGTCTGGAGATGAAGTCGGCGAATACTTAAACACAAGACTTATATCTAATTTGCCCACCAGAAGTAGTCCTTTTGCATGAAAACCTGAGAGATCCCTTGCCAATGCAGAATACTAATTTCTTTCACATAAACATGAAAAACATGGCCCAGAAAAACGGATCGAATTCATACAAGTAACTAAAATTAAGGCCCTCACTGTGCATACTTGTGAGTTATAGCGAGTCTTCAGTTCTGTTTATGTGATAACTTGACTCTTGTACCAATATGTCCACTTTGAAGTGTACTGCGAGACACAACAGGCCGAATGTATGTCGGCCTATACATATCGCGCAGCACAATCAATTCTCATAAGAATCAACATTTCCTTACTCAAATCAATAAGCAAACTTAAAAATCAGCAGCTTTCTACTGAACATTACATGCAAATCACGTACCATTATACAACTAGCGAAAATCACTAGGTTTGAGCTAGCATCGAATGTACAAAAGAAGTTTTTTATGTCAATTTCAGAGCTTTCGGAAATTGAGTACACGTGCAACGAGTAGCCTCTCTGAAGATTATAGACTACCAATAAAACTTGCACTTTTCAGCGATCAATCTTGGGAAATCCTTAAGCAGCTATTAGTACAAACGTTATAAAATATAAAATTCCAAATTTCACTTACGGTGAATGAAGTGAATTATGATCGCAGCTCTATTATCGGTTCCTGTCCTTGCTAGAAAATCCTAAAAAGCCTTTACTCTGAACAAAATTAAATGTAAATTTTCATCAAAATTCAAACTACCTAAATTAATAAAAACAGTAGGTGCGGGAGAGATAGGCCAATGTTTGGCGAAATTCCCAAAAGCCAAATGCAGTTTTGACGTTGTTACTTACCATACTAACAGCCCAGGTACTTAATGCAGGCCCAGCCACGTGTTTCGCCGATATTTTGCAACTGCTTGGCACAGCTGCGAGGGGCCCGGCTCAGCAGTGGGTCCTCTAACTTTCCCTATCTACTTTCTGGTTGATATACCGGTTTTGAAAAATCAGCTTTTTAATCTCCTGAGGAATTAATGTT